AATGAATAAACCAAAGTAAATTTCAATCATAATTCTAAATCACTCATGAATATCATTGCACATGATATATTGAAATGATTTCCCGTTTCCTGTCGAATTTCACTCAACAACTCCTCTCTCAACTCCATTACTACTAATGCTGCCAACATTGACAATACCACTGCTCTACTAGCGAATACAAGCTTTCTCATAGCTGAAATGAAAACTCTATAAGTCCAATAAAATGGTCAACTTTTCTTACCATTCGCGCTTCTTTCCAAGTACCATGGTCTGTTCTGTAGTCACAGGCAAACACTGGACATTCCACGTCGTACGTGGATAGCCTTTCCGACTTTGACTGTGTCAAGTCTCCTCGGATAGAAAGAAGGCTTATCCACAGGTTTCGACCGAGGTGTTCCATTCAAGGCAGGACACCGACCTAATCCATGTTGGAAGATGGTTGAAAACTGAGTCACTAGATTCCTCGTATATGCCTCAGTGTCATGTGGTCGTCATACCAAGTAGCATATGGTATTAGACGGGACATCAGCCAATTTTTGCTGGTTTAACCAATCTTAACCAAGTAAATTTGAATCAGCTGGCGTTAAATAATATATCCCGGTGAATGAAGGATCTCGGAAGGTAACTTAACACACTAATTTACCTTCAGGTAAAACCCATCTTTATGACCGATAACCCTACACTACCTATATCAATGTTGCCTAGATAGGCACTTTTGTACATAGTGCCAAATGATCCTTACTGTATAGCTAGAAAGTGTGTATTATATTCCAGTTATTACGATACATTTTCTACTCATACTTTGTCGATAATTCTGATGCTTGAAAAAGAAACTAGATAATTATAAACGGACGTCTCGACATACACTGTGTACAGTGTAGGCTTAGCCTCATTTGTCACTAAGTTCTTATTTATAAGTCTCAGAAGCCATCTAGGTTTAGATATAATAGAAGAGGCATGTTCTTCAAATTTCAGGCACTTGAAGTGATGAATACCCAGATCATGAGCTGATTATATATTTTTTTGAGGAAAGGCAGTCGCTGTATTTTATCATTTGTTAGCGTCCATTTAGGAGTGAAATGAACCACAAATACAATGAGTTACTAATTTCGAATGACTTTAGTTTGAAGATTAGCCCTTTGCTGTGAGAGCTAATCGAAAGATCTTTCAGAGTCAAAGAAATGGACACACACTGAAAGCTTTCTGTCTTGTTCTTGAGTAACATCATTTGGATAGTCCAGTTGGTATGACCCGAACCTTGAGAACTCATGCTGTCAGACCGAAATGAGATTGCTATAAAGCAGTGGTTGCATTATCACTGAATTTAATAATTTCTCCATCACCCTAAGTACTACTGAGATAATGTTCATCATTCTTTATAGATGCGGATTTACTTGTGGAGAACGTGTGTATTATCTTCCAGTTATTAGGATAAAAATCTGTAGAGAGTAATATGTTAAATAGTTCAGTCTGTATAACAAACAAATCATTGCTACCACTTTTGAGGATGACAGCTGAGAAACGATACGTTCATTTAAAACAAGGGTTTCAGGTATTTTTCAAACTGAAACTGTTCTCTGAACTGTCAGTCTGTCAGTCAGTTGCTACGTAGAACTTCGTACGTATGTACATACATTCAGGTTTCCAGACCACATTAGCACAGAGAAGCAAATGCCGAATAAAATCCCATAATCATAAAGATATTATAGATATTAATGTTTATGAAGAAGATTGGGATTTGAAGATTTTACTCAACAAGTATAATTCAGTGAGATTATAATAGAAAGACTAAGGTAGAGGTGCTGACTCATTTAGGATTTGAGAGAGCACAATGAATGGATGCACTTGCACCATTGAAAACGATTCTGAGCCATGACGTTCAAGCCCCCTTACCATTGGTGACTTTCGTCTCGCGGACCTCAAACAGGTAGCCTGCATCTACCATTATGATTCAGTCCACTTGTCAGTGACTTCATGGATTGCTGCCATGTTTTGGTCTGGTCGCCCTAACTTTCTTCCAGCCTAATCCTGCACCACAAAACATAGATTTCCGAAGCAGTTGATGGTCGGTCATTCGTAACACATGTCCCAGACTTCTCAACTGATGAAGTTTCATTACTTCATCCATTGATCTACCATCCTTACCTAGCACTCGTTTCCCAACTCCAGCATTGCTTACTCGGTTGTAACACGCAATACGAGCAATGCTTCTTAAACATCTATGATCGAATACTAGTAACCGACGAACATCTACTCTTAACGGACATGTTTCGCATCCATGTACGTGAACGGGGCTATTTCCTGCGCAGTACAGCCATCCTTTCGTTAGCGAACGGATATAACGCACATGCAATAAACGGCGTAAATTGACAAAAGCAAATCGAGATTCCTGCATCCGCGCTGAGATATAGTCAGTCAGCAGGCTGTCAGCACTCATGAGACTCCACAGATCAGTGAAACGATCAACACGCTCGACTACTTAACTACATATCACTATTTCACATGCCGATGCTACCCAGTCTTGAAGCAACATTTTGCATTTCCAATGTGAAAACCGCATCCCGAACATGCTTGCATTGTTGCTTGAGGTAGTCAGAAGACTGCATCTTGTCAGCGAATTCACTGACTAGGACTGTGTCATCGGCATATTCTAAGTCAATTAGCGAGCCACCTGGTAGAAGGTCTACTCCCTAAAATTCGGACGAGGATAAGGTTATTTCTAAGAGCATGTCTATGATAAAAATTAAACAAGAATGGAGAGTGAAATTCCCTGACGGATACCACTTGAAGTAAAGAATTCGGGTGACGGTTCGCCATAAGCTCTCACTCGACCAGTGGTGTTCGAGTAGGGAGCTTGTATAAGGTTAATGTACTTCTCTGGTACACCTTTCAATGACAGACACTGCCACAGAACCTCACGATCAACAGAGTAGAATGCCGCCTTAAGGTCCACGAAGACAACTATTGTAGGACGCCTAAATGTGTGTCTGTGTTCCAGGACCTGTCGTAGTATGAAGATGTGGTCTATACAACCACGTCCAGGTCTGAAACCCACCTGGTCTTCTCCAGTCTGCTCTTCAAGCGTCGAAATATTATTGAGGCCAATATTTTAAATAGTATATTAGTTAGACTTATTCCCCTGTGAGTATCACAAGAAGACTTGTGTCTTTTCTTATAAATTGGGACAATTAGCGACTGAGACCAGTCAGATGGGATAACGTCCAGTTCCCAGATTCAATCTAAGATCTCGGTCAGTCTAACTGTTAAAACTGCACCACCATCCTTAAACATCTCAGAGGTCAGTCTATCAGGATTAACTGCTCTACCTCCCTTTTAGATTTCCTAACACTTTCTCAACTACGTGTGGACTGGGAGGACTTAAATCGATTTGCCATTCAGGATGACTGGTGATCGTGGGAAAACGAAGTGTGAATGAAGACCAGTTGAACTGGTCCCTAAAGTGTTCTGCCCATCGGTCCAATCTCCTGGATTGAGATAGTCTCACTCACATTCGGGTTCCCAATACCGGTTTCTTTGATAAGGTGTAAAAGTTGTATAGTGTTGCACATCTCCCTTTTCCATCGCTTTTGCTTTCGCCGCCGACCACTGTTCCCGGGCGTTACGTAGGCATTTTATCAGTCTGCGCCTAAGCTGACTACGCTCTTCATCATGTTTAGAGTCAGGTGACCTGCGTTTTCGAGCATTCATCAGTTCGGTGGATGCGACTGAAATCCACGGCTTCATCCTAGCCTTACAGTTTAACTTGCTAGCAGATATCACTGCTCTTTCCACAGCATTTTTATATCATTTCGACCTGCCTCCGGATGGGAATCACTTGCACGGTCGCCTAACTGTTTTTCCGGTTGCTCCCGAAATATTTTCTTAGCTGTATAATCCATTAGTAAAGCCCTAAGAGGTTATCTTGCGATATTATTCTGGCGTCCAATAAGGCGCAAACATATGCGCGCCGGAAATGAAGCATGATCTAAATTTAACATGTGACCAGAACGAGCGGCAGTCCTCTATCGAACCCCTACATCGGTGGCTGATGGCGATATGATCTAGTTGCGTCCAACGTTAAGACGAAATTTGGGGGCGTCAGCTCAAAATAGGTTTTTACTTATGCTTAAAATTAGTGTTTGCTAGAAACAGACGGTTATCTGAGCACAGTTGCAACAAACGGTCGCAATTGTCTGTTCTCTGAGCCACGACACCATAAGATACACCCAGGTGCATTTCCTTTACATTACAAATCTCCTCAATTATAGAAAATCTGATTCAGGTCGTACAATAAACAGTATGACAACTGATGGATCCGCCACCATGATTCCTCGTTCTCCAGAAATCTATTTATATATTTTACTTCACTTCTAGTCACTGACTATCTCTGTTCACTTACTCAGTGACATTTGCACACAATCAATACGACCTGTCAGAGAAAATGTCTTACAGTTTAATTATCGACCAATCAACTTCACAAAACGACAGCTTTACAGTTCATCTATGATCTCTTTAACCAATGATGTACTTCACTGAACTGTAATTATGAGAAAATCGAGTAGAACCTGTTACATTTTTCATAGGTTAAGTGATTCTACGTAAAACTGATGAAAACTTAAAACGCATCACGATTAACGCTGTTAACACTGAATTATTTCGATGTTTTCCTAATACCTATCATTACATATATAAACTGAATGAAACACGGATCAGCTCATTCAATATCGGACTTTACTCACACACCCGAACACAAATCATCTCTATTTGTCTCTAGACATCACCTGATCACAACTTTTCGGATTGAAAATGGCACTCAATGTATTGAAAGAATGTTTTTATTTTATCGTTTGAACAAAATGTAAAAACTTTGAAAAAATATATGGTGTTTCGTTTAGGTTAACAATCAAAAAACAACACTGAAAGATATCTTTCAACAATATTACGTAGTGTGAGCAGTCTATATAAGTGTGCTGTTTATATACTCTGAAATAAGTCGTGAATTAGACTGGCGTTACATCGATTAGGTCTGTTGTTGTTGTTGCGGAGAACATGTCTGTTTCTTCACCAGTCGTCGTTTGATCGGCTTTCGATCCTCCGTCAAATAGTATGATTGTCGGTTCTCCGAACGAGTTTTCATTTGTCCGAATAACGACGGTTTCTCCTAACTCAATCTTTTGTTGATGAGCACCCATGTCTCCATCATCTATTTGGACAGACGGTACCGCGAATGAGTCTTCAGTTGTTTGATTAACGACGGTTGTTTCTTCCTCAATCTTTCGTTGATGAGCACCGATGTCTCCATCATCTATTTGGACAGGCGGTTGCGCGAATGAGTCTTCAGTTGTTTGATTAACGACGGTTGTTTCTACCTCAATCTTTCGTTGATGAGCTCCCATGTCTCCATCATCTATTTGGACAGACGGTACCGCGAATGAGTCTTCAGTTGTTTGATTAACGACGGTTGTTTCTTCCTCAATCTTTCGTTGATAAGCACCCATGTCTCCATCATCTATCAGGACAGGCGGTTGCGCGAATGAGTCTTCAGTTGTTTGATTAACGACGGTTGTTTCTACCTCAATCTTTTGTTGATGAGCACCCATGTCTCCATCATCTATTTGGACAGACGGTACCGCAAATGAGTCTCCAGTTGTTTGATTAACGACGGTTGTTTCTACCTCAATCTTTCGTTGATGAGCACCCATGTCTCCATCATCTATCAGGACAGGCGGTTGCGCGTATGAGTCTTCAGTTGTTTGATTAACGACGGTTGTTTCTACCTCAATCTTTCGTAGATGAGCTCCCATGTCTCCATCATCTATTTGGACAGACGGTACCGCGAATGAGTCTTCAGTTGTTTGATTAACGACGGTTGTTTCTTCCTCAATCTTTCGTTGATAAGCACCCATGTCTCCATCATCTATTTGGACAGACGGTACCGCGAATGAGTCTTCAGTTGTTTGATTAACGACGGTTGTTTCTTCCTCAATCTTTCGTTGATGAGCACCCATGTCTGCATCATCTATCAGGACAGACGGTACCGCGAATGAATCTTCAGTTGTTTGATTAACGACGGTTGTTTCTACCTCAATCTTTCGTTGATGAGCACCCATGTCTCCATCATCTATTTGGACAGACGGTACCGCGAATGAGTCTTCAGTTGTTTGATTAACGACGGTTGTTTCTACCTCAATCTTTTGTTGATGAGCACCCATGTCTCCATCATCTATCAGGACAGACGGTACCGCGAATGAGTCTTCAGTTGTTTGATTAACGACGGTTGTTTCTTCCTCAATCTTTCGTTGATAAGCACCCATGTCTCCATCATCTATCAGGACAGGCGGTTGCGCGAATGAGTCTTCAGTTGTTTGATTAACGACGGTTGTTTCTACCTCAATCTTTTGTTGATGAGCACCCATGTCTCCATCATCTATTTGGACAGACGGTACCGCGAATGAGTCTTCAGTTGTTTGATTAACGACGGTTGTTTCTTCCTCAATCTCTCGTTGATGAGCACCCATGTCTCCATCATCTATTTGGACAGACGGTACCGCGAATGAGTCTTCATCTGTTTGATCAGCGACGGTTGTTTGTCCCTCAGTCGTCGTTTTATCGGCTTTCGTTTCTCCATCAATTATTATAGCTTCTGGAAAAATAAGACAAAGGTTAGTGAAGCAACAATACATTATAGTATTATTCGATGTTAACATGAGTTCGAGATTCATTCTTACCTTTGGAAAAATGATCAAGATTATATGACTCGACAAATTGATGTTCCGCAACATACAACATTACCATCTTCATCATAACTATATTGATAAAGTTCATTGTGAGACTGCTTCTTTGTATGACACCTGATGACACACGGTTTTCGTCGTTGTTAGCGTCGTCACTGACCACAAACTATGAAATCAACCACCGCATCACAATTTATACTCGCTTACCGCCCACATTGCACAAATCTGTCCAAACATAAAGACACCAACATTTGTTTGTGATTGGTCAGACTTTATGCATTGAGCATAAAGCGTGTCAGCAATCAGTCTACTCAACGACTGGTTATTTGTACTGTTAGAATAAATGTCCCGTTTGATGCATTCGGATTGGTACACTGATACAGATATGCGTCTAATAGTGAATTGCTGTGCAAGGCTAAAATCTAAGTTTAGTGAAAGTAATTATGATAAGCAGGCTTCTTTTTCAATTCCCAGTTCATATTCGACATGATACTGATAGATTTCTTGCATTCATTGACCTTGTTGATAAACGAAAATAAGCCAAATAATAGTAGTGAAGTTAAACTTCGGGAAGCGAGGGAATACACTAAACCACATCGTCCTACTCGAAGTTCATTCGCTTGACCCATCGTGGGAATTCGCTTGATAGTAATTTTACCAGCCAACTGACATTTTCTAGTAATTATTCCTACACTAGTATTCATTCAAAGATGTTTATCACATAAATAAATGCATTATAGTCATTAATGCCTGGAAATGACACGCAGTCGGAACATAGTGTATGTTTCAGGAGATACTCTACACTGTCATCAGTAAAGAGATTGACACAGTTCAAAGTAAGGACTTGTTATTTGCACCACTCTGACTAAAGAGAACCAGAATCGAAACCAACAGATCCCATTATTGGTGAATAGTACTCTCTCTCTCAGTGTATTGTTATCGACCAATGTGTCTACAATCGTACTATTCAGGTTACACAGTTTATGACAGTCACATCCAATGTTCAGTTCATAGATGCGAATGCATTGTCTCAGACTTCTGTCTAATGTAATCGAGGAAGATAAATTGAGATTTGAAAGAAATAAGTTATAATCTAAGCATTTTCAGTGAAACAGTGTTATGCACGAAGGATCAGTAAACATGTATTCAGATGTTATCAATCGTGTTTGCTTAATATTGATGATAGTGTTGTGAATTTGACAACAGCATAGGTCATGCTGTTCGTGTTCACCATGTGCATAATTACTTTGGGATGAGATTGGATAACAATGAACACTTTATATTGATCTGAGATTTATTCAGGTCCTGAACATCAATACGAGTGAAGTGACTGTGGCCTCGTACTTTGCGAATGCTTCTCAAAAGTTAATGGAGCTACAGGAGGCCTTGATCTCTTCTTCTGAATTCACCTACCGGTCTCACAAGGAGGAGTGTTGTTTTGGTTTCTTTGTTTGGGATCAAGTGGCAGTATCTAGGTCGTGTGATCAGAATTGTGAACAGCAGTCCGATATACACAACCGAGTTAGGTTTTGAGTTTCTTCAGGACTAGTATCTCCGAGATTGAGATTTTCAACACTCTATTAACCCGCAATTCATGCGGCTACTGGTTTTTCTTCTTGATGTATTGTAAGAGGTAGTAGCAACGCCATCAGTGAACATGTCAATGCCCCGGTCGAGTGTCAAAAACTGGTTTGTTTTCTAGAAAATGGTGGGAGGCAACCAGGAAACTTGAACTTCGAATTGCGCACTAATCCTCGTATTTCAGCGTGCTTATGTAAGTTTAGTTGTTAATTTGTCGAGGCAACTGACGTCATTTAACAAAATTTATGAACTTTACGCATTCTCATCTTCGAAAAGAAGTTTCTTTTATATAAGGAGGACCGATATGGGTCCTTTCCTGTTTTAGATAGGCAACAACCGTGATACACAATTCCCCGAAACAACTGTTTCTTAAGAGAAAATATTATTGAGACCTGTCGGAAGACCTTTACAGATCACAAATCTGTAACGTTCACAAATAATTAGTCACCTGAAAAATGTGCTAATCGAGAGGCCAACAAACTTAAAAAGCATCTCATTTTACGTTAAATATACATCATGTTCGAGCGTAAAACGCTTTACCTACTGGTTTCTTGCCACCGATATTCATTTTGAGCGGTCTACAAGGAAAACCTCATCTATGGACGGCTAATTGTACATTCTTGTCGTAATATTTCCGAACTGACTATCTATTCACTGGTATCTTTCCACTGACATATATTTTGAACGGTCTTAAGCAGCCTTACACTGCTGTAAAAATATAAAATTAAAAATCTATTTGGGTTATTTTCGATGACAATGACGACTTATAATTTTGTAAAGTGGAATCTAGCACTACTAATCATGAAATCACGAGTAAAATATTGGCACACCACTTCGTCTGGTGGCAGAGTTTGAACTTCGTTTCCACACCGACCTTCAAGGTAGACAATACACTCCTATTGAAGTTCGAAGTTAACCGACGCTTCTATTCTATCCATGTTAACGCATAGTACACAGGACTTTATACATCATAACTCAGTACGCCATCTTCTAGTCACCGCCTATAAACTGTCTTCAACAATTCCCTATTCAAAAATCCATGTTTTTGTACTATCGACGAATATTTGGAATCAATCAGCTGAAAATTGTATATTTGTAATAATTATAATAACCTATTCTCAAACAATTTATTACAAAAAGCATGCAAATATACAGACAAGATGAAAACGATAAAGTTGCTTACATATTAACACTAAAAGGTTGTTCACCTAGTTTTAATTCATAAACAAAATTTTCATAATATCGACAAATATCTGACATCAATTGGCTGACAATCTTGTCATAAAAATAATAATACTAATTGTCAGAATAATAATTTGTTCTCAGTTAACATTTTCTTGAACTATAAGATGAATCTTTCCAGGACTATCAGATATATCTTTCCAGGGTCTAACAACGTTGTCACTAGTTTCTTGAAACGAGTTATTGTGTCACGGATGCGGATAGCAATAAGTAGTCTATCTCACAATAAACTTTATCGTTTGACGTAGAAATTGCGATGCAATGACATTTCATGTTTTCCCGTATTGATAAACATAGTAGAGGAACTGTTCTCCAAACTGTATTCCACACTGCGTCGTCTATGTAGTTTGAAGTTATGTCCAGGCTACGAAGTTACTGAATCTAGATCGCGCTCTAAGCGAGCATCAGTGATTGGACGAATAATGAGAACTTGAGTTGTTTCTACGTAGCGTGGGAAAATTTTCATTAGAATACAATCAGATCCACAATGAAAATTTCAATATAACATATATACTATTATCCGATTAAGCAGGATAAATATAACTGAATTCACTTCAAATCGTCAGTCGTCTCACAATATCGATGTGTTTATGCCTAAACCTGCTCTCAAACTTACGAGAAGCATATGTAGTGGAACTGATGACAATGTCGTGCAATCTTTCGACATTTGATTATTGCTTGTGTCTGGTGACGAATATCCCGAAACCCTTTTTACTGATAAACCACCCGTTTATTAGGTTGATTGTGAGTTTTATTACAAGGTGCGATATAATATACATGGCTTCAAAAATTTCTCATTCCAAAAACGTCGGTTCGGACAAATATCAAACTTTATCCTTGCTTTGTGGAGTTGAGTTTCCGAATTGCCAGAGACGTTGTTCTCCCAAATCGTAACCTGCACTGCTCATTATTCGATTCTTTTTAGATGTAATATGAACGACCGTTTTCAGTAAGTAGGCAAGTTGTCCCCTGAACCTTTATAAAATTTACAAACCTATAGTAAATCTGAATACAGAAAGAGCGACAAGTATTAAATATACATCAGTTGAGCCTGGGACATATATTATATACGTGCATACGCGACTACCTCAACAGAAGAAGTTTCAATATCTCGTTTATTGTTTTGCGATACCTATTTAGGGGCAGCTGGAAAACCAGTGGCAAACGTCTAAGCTATATATCAGTGAGTATCTCAATCGTATCAATTAACGCTATTGTATCTAAAATCGGTTCTCATATACGGAATGAAATGATGACAGCACACTAAGGATAATCAGGAATCAAAATGTTTATCCCAACGATGTTACAATGCAGCATTTATTATTTCTTGTATATTATAGCGCATGTTGTTCAACAATGGCAAACATAGTAGCAAAAAATGATTCGGGATATTCGTCAATGAACACAAGCAATAATCAATTGCAGAAACATTACACGACATTATATTCAGCTCCAAAAAAGATGATTTTCGTAAGCACGAGTTCAGGTTAGCGCATTACAAATTTTTACAGTAAATAAATAAGATTTTTCAGAATTCATTTCGTCAATCAAGATGATGCTTGGAAGATTTGGCGGCTATTTCGGAAGTTATGTTCAAGTAAGCTGAACAAGTACTGCAATTTGATTCTGCCGTTGAACCCACGAGATCGCTGATTTTCTGAGAGAGTTCAGACATTAAGCTAACACTTTGGCGACAACTCGTCACTGTTTAATGTTTGAAGCTAATTATGAACAAAGATGATGACTTTCATACGCATGTGGGCAGCGTCAACCGTGAATGCGAACGCTTTCGGTTGAAGTCTTTGTCTGAAGACAAGTTTAAAGCCATCAGTCTCGTTTGCAGCCTCCAGTCTGAAAAGTTCAGTGACACAAGAACAGGGATAATAAGTCGGTTAAAGCAAGTTGGAGAGAGGTCGTGTCCAAGATCTCGGCAAAATTCTAGTGACCAATTAGGAAGGTCAAAGTGGGATACACATGGAGCACTGATCTTACAAAGTTTCATTTCATCCAACTTACCAACAGCTAATTTCAATCTCTTAAAAGTGATGTTTGTGAGAGGAGAAGTTAGGTGGTTTCTGGATAAACGTGAAATGTTTGTACAATTAGTTGTTGGTAAAAGTTTCACTATATGAATTTATGAAGCCTGGAAC